ACAGAATCGGAACAAGATACTTTTCTCAATGTATACCAAGATTTCTGCTATACTTAATATTAAAATAACACACAGGTTAACTCTAATATAATTAAAGTAGTTTTTAAAATTCGTGTAAAAATCAAAAAGAGTTTACACAAGAGGAATGGTTTAAAATTATGAAGGACACCAAAAAAACGAACCAAAATATATTGTCAACGAGGTTTCGCAGGCAGAAATTTTTGATTTTCGTGCCTTGGCAAATGACGAAAATTGGAAAGCCATTAAAGTTATGAATTTGAGAGAAATATCAGTGCTGCCGAATGAATCCAATGCTTTTGTGAAATACAATTATGATGAGGAGGCAAAACCTATATTGATTCCAACGAAAAAGTCACTTGGAAAGCAACATCCTCTCACACAAGCCTTTAACAATCGACTAGAATTGGATAAAGAGAAGAAAAAGATTTGGAAGAGATGTGTACTAAACGAATAATTCCTGAAATGTATCATGAGTTTTATAATTCAATAACACTATGCGACAGTCAAAATCGGGATGGGATGAAACCAACGGGAAATGTTATATCGGTCAAAAACAAGTTATACGTGGCCCGGCGTTTCGCTGGGTCACGTCTAGGAATTGAGATATATCGATTTAAAGTTAGTAACTATCATATAGGGGAAATTGTCACCTTTGGTGTTCTTTTTTTTTGACATAACTCGAGAACCACTAGTCTGATTTTGCTCAAAAAAATTTAAAAAAAATAAAAATTACAATTCCTTTAATCTGTTAATATAAAGTTTTTCTATATACTCAACAGTTTTGCCGGTAAAAATAAATGTATGAAGAAAAAAAATTATTTTTGCCTAAAAATTAAATTTTTTTTTTAAATTTATAAAAAATCCAAAACGGAAAAAAGTGTCACGTTAAGTCACAAAAATTTTTTCAAGAATAAAAACAATACGGAAGATAATGCTTTCTTAAAGCGGCAGCTCAGATAGGGCGATCTTGAGCCATTTGCTGAGACAGGGCGTTTTCGGAGAGGCAGCTGAGATAGGGCGTTTTTGAATAAAATTCTCAGATAGGGCTTTGTTCAACTAAATTCTGAAATCGGGCGTTGTTCAATCAAATTTTGAGAAAGGTCGTTTTTGAAGAGGCAGCTGGGATAGGGCGGTTTTGAACCGAATTCTGAAATAGGGCGGTCTTCAATAAAATTGTGAGATGGGGCGTTCTTTAACTAAATTCTGAAATAGAGCTTTGTTCAAAAATTTTCTGAAATAGGGCGTTTTCGAACTGGCTGCCGAGATAGGTCGATCTTCCACTCAGCCATCGATATACTATATTTATATATTTATACTGTTTATTTTATATTTTATTCAACACAAATTTTCACTCCGACTTTTCAGCGTAATATCGTAAAAATTTTGCTGCAATGACGTCACACATCAGCTGATCGAAAAATACGAATAGCGGACCTGCGCAATGCGCAATCTCTTTTCTATCATTCTTGAATTTTGGTTATAACATACTTTATAGTGAAACATTATCTGAAAAATCCTATGATGTACATATGTATGGTCTTCGATGCATCGAAAAATATCGATGTACATTTCGATGCATCGAATCAAAGAAAAACATCGATGTATTTTTGCCACTGACATCCCTAATTGTACCATGTCATAAGCAGCTGAATTCGTTGTCGCCGTAGTTGTGTTTTACTGAGCGAAATTTTTGGGCGAAAGTTGCCGCCGTCGTCGCACTACTGTGCGAAAATTCGCCGTTCGTCGGTATTATGTTTCAACGGTGAGCGCGGGTCAATGACCGCAAATATATAAAAGGTTGAGGCAGGTTAGGGATCTAGTTTTAAGTTACCCACAAGAAAAAATATTAGTGCCAGAACAAAACTAAAAGTAGACTTGGAATCTAGCTAGCATTTTGAGTTTACTCTCTCGAAATAATTCAAATGTCAAATAAATTCAAAATAAACAAATGAAAATTTATAATTTGAAAATTTATTTATTCAAATGTGGGAAAAACTAAGGGCCGTTTGCACCATGTCTAGTTAATTCTAACTGCCAATTAAACATCTTTATCGACGTTATCGACACCCATCATATAACATGTGATCGATAAAGCAG